ATGTATGTATGTATGTATGTATGTATGTAGTCTATGTATGTATGTATGTATGTATGTATGTATGTATGTATGTGCATGGACACGTGTCGTGCGGCGAGGGTGGCTAGTCTAGACTGTAGGATATATGGCAATGTCGCGGTTCCAGTTTTGGTGGTGTGGTGGTGTGTGGTGGTGTGTGGTGTGGTGGGGGGGTTGTTTGCATACCNTCTGCGCCAACACGATGAAACTGGCCAGCGTGCTGTGCGGGACCATCGATTGGAACCACCGATTGTAGTTGACTGCGGGACCACCGATTGCGGTTGACTGCCGGTCATGCCAGCGGTGTTCGACCTTACAATACAATGTACCATGGCGTGCAGCAATCACTCAGACTGTGGTGTGCCCGAGCATGAGTATGGCCAAACGGTCCCGTCGTGTGAAACATGCCTTGGTATGCTATGTATGTCCGCCTACGCCATGGTCCGCTGGTGGTCAGCGAGGTCGCTGGTCGGCTGTATGTAGAATACGACGTTTTCCCGTTAGGTCCACCTGATCCGTGGTTCCGTCCACCCCTCTATCTCTGCTGTTGCTGTCGCTGAGGGCGTGTTGTTTGAGACCGCCACCACACTGGCATGTCGTCAGACAAGTGACCACACACCAGACACGTAGGTTGGGCTTGCGGTGAGGTGGATGCCATGTTGGTGCACAGCAGTGGAATGAAAGATCACCCCGGATCGCGGATGAAGGCGGAGGATCACTTACCCGCCGTCGTCGGATCATGGATNATGAAACTGGCCAGCGTGCTGTGCGGGACCATCGATTGGGGCCACCGATTGCAGTTGACTGCGGCACCACCGATTGCGGTTGACTGCCGGTCATGCCAGCGGTGTTCGACCTTACAATNTGTATACATACCCTATCGCTCAGAACTCACCAATTTGGTCTGCGCCAACACGATGAAACTGGCCAGCGTGCTGTGCGGGACCATCGATTGGGGCCACCGATTGCAGTTGACTGCGGCACCACCGATTGCGGTTGACTGCCGGTCATGCCAGCGGTGTTCGACCTTACAATACAATGCACCATGGCGTGCAGCAATCACCCAGACTGTGGTGTGCCCGAGCATGAGTATGGCCAAACGGTCCCGTCGTGTGAAATGTTGGGAGAATTGTGTGCAAGAACTGACTCTATTCTACTGCAGGGTTTCGGTGCAGTATGGTGAAGGAGTGTACCCAAGTCTGTAACCGTCAGGTGAAGACAGCTTGGACGCCGATGTGTGAAATAATGATCACTCTGTGTTTTTCTCTAAATAGATACAGCGGCGTCGAGCCTTATGGTAGACGCTGATTCCCGCATGTCCAAGCGTGTGTTCGATCCAGTGGACTGCGCCGTGCGTATCATCGGGTCGTGCGGAACATCTATAGCGCTTGGAATTCGTAGTGAGCAAGGCAACATTGTGACGGTGGCACTGGACGTCCTCCTGGTTCGTAATCTAGGAGCGAATATTCTGTCGGTTGGAGCGTTGGCCGAAAAGGGAGGTAAGTGCGATTTAATGTCGATCCCTCCGGCGCTCCGACGCGGCGACCAGGCCTTTCCGATATCAATCGCTGTGCCTCGCATGTACGTGATAAACGTCATCATTGACGATCTCAACATGGACGATGTAGACGTGTATCGCACCAAGGTCGACGCTCACCTGTGGCACCGGAGGATGGGCCACTGCAATCCGCGTGCACTGCAGCAGCTGGCGGAAATGGATACTACTGGAGTAAAGTTCCATCACAACATCGAGTCAGGTGACTGCAGCGTATGCGCGGTCGGGGATAGCAAGAAGGGCAGTCATCTGATCACCCCCACTCTGAAACCCGGCTAGAGATTATGTGCGCCGACGTGTGGGGGAAGCACCCCATCAAGTCGTTTGGGGGCTGCCAGAGTTCCGTGATGTTCACTGACGTGTTTTCTCGCATGAGGTTTGGCTTCCCAATCACGACAAAAGACGAAACGGCGGAGTCTCTCCACAAATTTGTCCGGGAGGTAGCCGACCCGATCGGGCAAAGCATCGGCACGATGCACTGCAATGGTGCAGGAGAATTCCAGGGCAGATCCTTGGAGCTGTGCAAGTCCCTCGGAATTACGGTCAAAACTAGCGCTCCATACACTCCACAGCAGAACTCCATCGCAGAACGTGGATTTGGCACCATCATCGAACTACTCGCAAACTAATGCTGGGCGCACCGCACCTTCCCAGCGAGCTGTGGGCTGAAGCATTCCAGACCGCCATCTATCTCAAGAATCGCACACCAACTGAAGTCCTGGGCGGCAAATCCCCACTCAAGGTATGTGAGGGTAAGCCGCTAGGTAATCTGCTGCACATTCACGATTGGGGTTCGATGGCCTCCAAACACGAGGAAGCGCGTTTCCGTCCCAACAAGCTTGCGGCCAGGGCCAAGAAGATGTATCTGGTAGGCTATAATACCAAGGGCAGGTCGTACAGACTGTGGGATGTGGAGCCTTCTAAAATCACCAACTCTGCCGAAGTATCCTTCCGTGAAAAAGAGATGCGCGACGTGGTTAAATCCAAAGTAGGGCGCGATCCGTTTCCTGTGCCAAACACGACAATCTACCAGCCTGGTATGGCAGAATCTAACGAAGAAGAAACTACCGACGATAGCGATGAAGAAGAAGACCAAAGTACTGCAGAGTCGACACCATCTGTTCCAGAACCACGACGGAGCGCCAGAGCATCTGCACCGCCGCAAAGGTTGAATCTATTTACGGTGACCTCGGAGGAGGATGCTTATCAGCAGGTGGAACAAGCTCTTCTGACAGGGGGTGTACTCGGAAACGTCGGGACGGGCAACCCTGGAGAAACAGATTATTATAGGCCTCCCGACCCGACCAACTACGACGACGCAACACGTGGACCAGATGCTGACCACTGGAGGGAGAGTATGCGCGAAGAAAATCGTTCGCTCACGGAACTCGACGTATACGATTGGGTGAAACCGCCGGCGGACGGTGATATACTTCCGTCAAGATACCTATACAAACGGAAGTACGCAGCAGACGGAGAACTAGCTCGACTGAAGAGTCGTATCGTGGTTCAAGGCTTCCATCAAGAAGACACGGGGGAAGACAAGGCATCATCAGTGGCGACATTGGAGGCGGTACATCTAGTAGTCGCCGTCGCTGCTCAGAATGGCTTTGTTCTAAAACAGGCTAACATCAAGACAGCGTTCCTACATGCCAGGATCCCCGCTAACGCAGACCCGATTTATGTTTGTCCTCCGAAAGGTTTCGAATGCTCTCCAGAACAAGCACGGCAGGTGTGGCGGCTAAAGGCATGGCTCTACGGATTGCGCCTCTCCTCGAAAGGCTAGTGCAGCACCTTCCACGACTTCCTGATTGAGAAAGGGTTCGTACGGAGTAAAGCAGGCCCCTGCCTCTACATTCTCGAAGCGGAAGGAGTTATCCTTCTCGTGTACGTTGACGACATC